CTACTACATAACGAGAACGCACCCTTATAATAAAATTTCACATATCGCTCATTCTCTAAAAAAACTGTCATAACACAGAAAAGTCTGATTGATTGAAGACTGAATAATCTAGTCAATACTCCTCAAAAAGTTTAATATCTTTCACAATAAACAAAACCATACGAGTACGAAAATCATTACGAGTAAGTATTGCAGCCTCACGAATGTAAAATATTTTTTTTTTTCAAAACAGCTTTTTCTATGTTATGACAGTTTTTTGAGAATGAGCGATATACGTATTGTTTCAAGTACTTTGTATTATTTTTATGATTTTCATGTGATTTTATTTGTACTTACTATGTAAAACTTAAATAAATTTTCTACTTATACTCGGACAACCAAAAATTTCAAGTTACAGCGTAGTATTTTATACCAAAACAAACTCGTTAACACGATTGGTCATACGATTATCTCCTTGAATTTCTACACTTACATCGAAACGTTCTGAAATGCTCATAATATGACAAGACACAGAAGTTATAGTTATACAGAAAAAATTACATACATACATAGGTATTTACATCAATGCTGCGTGCCTATATGTAAATTATTTCATTCCACAGTTACCAATTACAGGAAACAGATAATTAATTTTGTTTTAATTCAAATTAAGCAGTCTAAACGTGTCTAGCACGCACGTACAGGGTTACGTGCTACTATCACAAATGCTGCCAAATTGCAATAATTTTCTAGTATCTAAGTATTTATGTCTAAGTTCCCATATAAACATAATTACATAGTAAGCGACACGCATGTCTATATACAACAGTTCCATTGCCACTCAGAGCTTTAAATCGCAAAATCTGAATAGGGGCACTGCCACTGCGACCGTCTCCTCCTAACACGTAAGTAAGTAACGTAAGTTGATTTTATTTATTTATTTATTTTATTTTTTAGGGTACAAACAGCTTGTATCACAATGTAATAGAAACTATATTAAATAATTATAAATAACTTTGCTAAAATTATTGCTTGCACGCCATAAAAAAGAAATTCCGTTTGTAATCTTGTAAAGCGATTGGTAATGTAATGGTAAATGTTAGTGACTCGTTACGTAAATGCTTAACAGGAACCCGCAAGTGAATCTCAGACAGAAGCTCTGGTCAATCGACGATGGTAATTTTAATGAGACTATGTCTGCTATTTTACGCCGCAATTTAAGAGGATGTATATGGTGTCTTTTGTAGTTATTAAATAGTTTGAAGATTATATTTATTGATAAGTCATGTGCTAGCAATTTGACCAGCACCGTTACCTTTCAAAACCGGAACGCATTAATGCTTACATTGTTGCTTGCCGGCTGAAATAGGTAAGGTGATAAAGACAATACGTCTCTGGGCAAACTCTTTCACAAGGAGCTCTACTGCTACTAAAATCATCATATCAACACACAACAACTGTTACTGAGACGCTGACAAGCGGTGATGACCTTGCGTCGATGACCTTGAGCGATAACGCGCCTACTATAATTTTTCCAATAAGGTGGCGCCATACGCCCCGATGCGGTAAGAGTGTGGTAGTTGGACCTTCCGCTTAATTTCACATAATATTGATTGCCGCTAACAGATGGCGTTGTACTTAAAATACACACATGCTGTCTAACCTAAAAATTTCAAAGCATATAAGAACTGGACATGTTAAGCAAACAAGAAACAACTCACACCTCGAGTGAAATTGAGTTATGTATTTAAGTAGAACACCAGACGTGTCCTTTACCCGCTCACAAAAGATCCTGGCAACATACCAAGCCAAAACGGAGAAAATAAAAGTCGTTCAGGGTACCAACCCTAAATAAGTAACTTTTTAATAGCTAAAAAGAACCTTGCTCATATAATGCTTCGTATAATGTCCTTTTTAAAATATGCTAAACGGATCCATGTCACATGTACTGAAGTACTGTAGATCTTTGGCGTTTTCATTACGAAAACTAGAACATGGTTCTCGTTAACTAAATAAAAAGATACATAATGTTTTCTATTTATTGCTATATAATATAATAGTTTCCCTATATCGGTCTCACTGCTACAGTACATCGTTTGTCTCAAATAGAGATGCGCCGAGTACAAGTTTTACCGAGTAACCAAGAACCGAATTTTACTCGGTTCAACATTTGCTGAGCCGAGTACTCGGCTGAGTAACTCGGTTCATTACAACCGGAACGCGATGATCCTAAAAGCCCCCATTGCTCTAGAATTAGGCCGATATGTCAATGAAAGTTTATTATCGCGAGAACAGAGTCCTTTCTAATGGTGGGCAGAGCATAAAACAAAATATCCAAAACTGGCACAGTTAGCACGAGTGTCTTTATGTGCACCTGCAAGCACTGTGTATAGCGAGCGGTTATTTGCCGAAGCGGGTAATGTGTATGAAGAAAAAAGGAACAGACTATTCCCTGAACGCGCAGAAAGCCTTGCAAATATTCCTACATCATAACTTGCCCTTGTTGAATTTGAAATATGAATAATGTAAACTTTCTTTTTAAATTGCTAATTGCTAGAAATTGTTACAATTGTCTACAATTTCTAGTAATAAATCTCTTTTGAATATTTTAAATATATTGTTGATTTTACTTTATTATGCCTATAGATGTGATGCTTTATTTTAACCGAGTACTCATCTCATGAACCGAGTTATTCGGCCGAATTTACTGAGTACCGAGTAGCAAACGAGTACTCGGCGCATCTCTAGTCTCAAATAACTTACCTATTTATTTCTTCACACTGTTTTTACAAAAATCTAATTATCTCGAAAGTGACATTTTGTGGGTTGGTTATAGTTTGCATAACTATCTCCAACTACACATCTCGTAAGTATCGTGCTCGACGGCAGACAGCCGATTACAATACAATCATATACAATATAAATTAATTTGTCAAAACCATGTCAAAACAGAGGTCTGGCAACGTATCCCACGAACGCAAGCTACGCAGTAGACGTTTTCAACGTTGCAATTTTACTAAATAATCAAGGACGCAAACAATAATTTCATTTTTGTTTTGAATACTTTGTGTTTTAGGTTCTAATCCAACCAAAAATATTTTTTTTTATTCTCACGTAATGGCTAAATTTGACTTTTTTTTTAATATTTTGTTTTGATTTCAACGAATTGGTGCATTATATTTGCTTATTTACGTATTTTTTGTGTATGATATTTTTTCACACTGTTAAGTGCCTGTCCATAATTTGCAAGCAAATATTTTGCTCGTACTTTAGTAGACGAAAGTTACTTTTTACACTTAAATTTCTTATTTGTCTTTTATTTAAAACAAATAAAGTGATAAGTAACATTTAATGGAACAAGATAAGTACCATTTAAATAACCACACCAAATTTGATAGTAAGCAAGTTTGGTTTGCCCGAGAAAAATATGTCAAAAAATAACCACCAGTCTCACTGTAATCCACTTTTTGTATTACCTATGACAATAAACAATATTCTAGGAATTTCAAGCTATACTTCAAGATATTTGTTACAGGATGTACTATTTTCATAGTTCCACGTACTATGTTATCGCCTAAAAACTTACACAAAAACACTATATTTAAGCGATTTTGGCACCTCATTGTCTTAATTTAATTTTCTTTTGAAATGATAAAGAACATTCTAGTTTTTTTATACATTTCTTGCATAGATATTTCGAAAGTGTGACTGAGGAGATACTGTCAAAAAAGTCTTTGAAAGGGATTGTAGAGAGATTGAAGGGACTTACTGACACCCGTCACATTTATACCAGCTTTTAAAAAGACTTAACCAACCACAAAGCAGTAGAACTCCTTATCAAAAAGTTTCCATTGAAAGCCCAGTGATTTCATTGTCTGTGACACAAATGCAGCTCAATGCATAGATTATAAGCCCTGCTCCTCAGGAAATCAAGAATGAAACGTAAATATACACGTTTTAGAATTCCTACCACAATTAGAAAATTACAAGAAAGAACAACTCGCACCATTGCTGTAATAAGGCCTCATCTGCAAAATTACATCGTTTCAGGAAAACGTTTAAAGATTCTACGACGACTTTAGTCGATAACTTTTTAAGGCTTAAATAAGAAAGTTATGGCGCATTCCCATTACGTCGTGACGATAGATAGTAGTGCAGTTTAAAGTGTCGTGACTTGTACTCTGACTTTTCGTGATATATCCATATCGAAAGCCTACCGTCTCCAGCTACTTGGAATGGACCTGCTGTCCACCGCCATGGACTATTGATATTCTACAGGATATATCACAAAGAGTGTGCGATGAAATTCCATAATTTGATTCCACCTTCCCTTTTCCATCATCGGAGGACTAGACGTGGGCTGGGATTCCACCCCAATGTTATGGAAAGGGAATATATATCGAGATTGAAGGGACTTACAGACACACTTAACGCTTATACCAACTTTGAAAAAGACTTAACCAACAACAAAGCAGTAGAGTTTCTTATCAAAAAATTCATCCAGGGAAGTACTGCCACCTTACCTATTTCTGCCACCAAGCAGTAATGTGTGCATTACTGCGTTCCGGTTTTGAAGGATAAGGGCGCTGGTGAAGCTACAGACACATGAGACGTGTCAACTTGTGTCTCACGGTGACGCGCGCAGCGGCAGTGCTCCTCAGATCTTTGTGATTTAAAGCCCTGAGTGGCACTGCTATGGACAAGCGTGTCACTCACCACCGGGCACACGACTTGTTCGTCCTCTCACTTAGTGCCATAAAAAAGCGCAAAGAAACATGTACAAGGTTTGCACAGCAGGAAGCGACCTGCGTGAGAGTGATATAAAGCCCGACATACTGTTGTTCTCGCATAGAGACACGGTCACGCTATATCGTGTTAGACTCTCTTGTTTCGTTGTTTGAGAGGAATACCAAAAATATCTGGGTCCGAATATTATCTTTAATCGTGCAAAAAACTGCAGAGAGACGAATATTGGTATGACAATCTATAACCTGGAGGAACCGTAATAAGTGATGTGCTACGAATCTGTTGTAGTTATTAGACCACTCTGTTAAGTATTAAAAAACTTTTGCTACGAAATACCGAAACAAAAATAAATAGAGACTAGCAAAAATCATAGCCACTTCGAGTTTTATTTATGTTACTGCTTAATAGATATGATACTTTTTAATATAGATACTGTTGCATTTATGAAGTTAAATAATGCCAGAAGCTCGTTTAAAAAGTTATGAACTTTGATACAATCGAAATGAAACTGAATAAATTATTCTGCCTTAGATTATAGTGTGTATAATATTTTGCGTGGGCAGCAGCTACTTTCACAATTCATATTTCTGAAAATATGCAGTAGAGACGAGCAAGCTATTAAAATAGTTCTCTCTTTAAATAAAAAAGAGAAAATTTTATATCAAAGGGAACCACTTCATGAAAATTTAATATATAGGTACATATTAGTTTCTGTTAAGGAACGAAAGCGTAAAAACAATCCAAACCATTAATTTATGTACTCGTAAAGTACGTCGTACGACACGAATATAGAAGAATCCTGCTGGCACTATTTATAGAAATAGTCATTGAAGCGAAATGGAAAAAAACAATAGAATAATAGTAATAATAATAAACTCATTTATTTGTTTTAAAAACAGTAATACATTTTATAACAAAATCAAAGACAGTGTTACTTAACAAGACAAAACGGTTTATGCCTCGGCGGTTGCGGGAAACCCACGGCCTTTGTTATTCTGTCATAACCTTGTTGAAGTATTGTAATTAAATATTTATTTTAGGACATCGAGACTTAAAGTCGGTATCATAAATAATATATTTTATTTTAAAACACAGAAACTTAGAATAATTAACCCTATCAGTATCAATACATTCTAAGCGCAAGAACCTGCTGTATAAGTAGCCATTCGCGACAATATCAGAGCTTTAATGCCGTGTCTCACGGATTAAAAGATAATATTAAAAGAGTGAGTACATGGTATTCACGTCACATGGTAGGTCTCCCAGCCAAGTTACCCCCCATCAAACTGTATGATTGTGATTTGTCTAGGGTGACACAGTTCAGAAACCTGGGTCACATAGTAAATTCGGAGCTAAAAGATGATCGTCCAAAGGCATGCAAAGGAAGCGTAGGGCGTTGGCGGCCCGCGGGAACATGCTGGCTCGCAGATACAGATGAAGTAAAAGTTACCTTATTTAAATCATACTGTCAATCGTTTTACTGTAGCGGCCTGTGGGCTAGGTATACCTAAAAGACCTTCAGCGAGCTACGCGTCCTTTATAATGACATGTTTAGAACGCTGTTGGGGTTGCCCAGGTACCACAGTGCATCTGGTATGTTTGCGGATGCTCACACTGACTGTTTTTATGCAGTAATGCACAAAAAAATAGTTTCAGTGAGATGCAGAATACTGGAGAGCCCCAACAGCATATTTAAGATATTAGCCGATAGACCGGACAGTGGCATTTGATGTCGGCTGTTATAAATCCAAAATATGTATATTTTAGTCATACAATATTTTAGTAATTAATTTTTATTGTATGTATTATTTAAATATTTTATTTTATTATTGCATTATTATGTAAAATTTTTACTAACATAGTTGTAGGGTTTTCTTGTAACACCTTAAGTCTTTAATAAACGAATTTGAATTTAAATCGCAAAGATCTGAAGGGTACTACCAGTGCGCCCATTACCCTGAGACATAAGTTGACAAGACCCATGTACCTGTAATTCCACCAGTACCCTTACCCCTCAAAACTGGAACGCAGTAATGTTCACATTAATGGACGGCAGAAATAAGTAAGGTGACAGTACTTCCCTGGATGAACTCTTTCACAAGGAACTCTGCCACTGCTACTACATTGCGTCATTTGGTTTCATGTAGTTCGTATTTATTTTACGACTTTCATGTAATAAAAGCAATTTTGATGCATGCATGCATGTGGCCTTATTATACCAAGGCTACGATATTTTGTACTGTTACTGCTAGTTTAACTTCGACTGAGCAAAGATGATGAGCTAAGCAAGTTTTTCGTATTTTCAAAACGAACGTTGCCTTAGTTTAATCAAGAAATTTAAGAAAATTTAGAGTTTAGTTCATAATTTCTTACTTAAACTAAGGTAAAGTCGTTTTGTAAATGGGTAATTTACGAGTTAGTTTTCTTTACGTAATTTCGTTAGCAATTTTTATTATCAAAGTATTATATAGGATATACAGGATGCTACACTCGAAGATTAAATAACACTTCATGACAATATTCTACAATATTTTTTGTTGGATCCACACACACATATCGCGCACGCGCGCACACACACACACATACACGCATACTCGACACTCGACACTAATAGGTCAATGTAACTTCAATATTACTTGTCAGATACGGTGAAAGCCTGGTGAGCTGTAGTACAGGTCTAGTACCGAGTACGGACTCCAGTCTCTCACAAATTCCTCTTATATTTAACATTAGGTAAAAATACGAAACACCTGTTTAGCTCGCCATTTTTGCTCAGGCTAACTTAGTTCTTTTTACAAATCTCAGCCAGGTAATTTCAATTCTGGATTCTATTTTAAAAAACGTGAAAGTTCAGTGCCGGTCCATCAAAGCCTAAGATTGCACCATAGAGCCCCAAGCGACGCCTTATATCCGATTGATGTCGTTTCACTTGATAGTAACAATTTCATACCCGCTTGACTCCCGCCAAAGTGCTCTCCAAGTCTCCATGAATAGCAAAAGGCAAAGGTATTTTATTTCACACGGTCTACGTTTCACGTAGTTTTTTTCTTTTTTATTACATCAACTGAGTATTGTCTGCAAACTACATTATCTACCTCGGAACCTTATTTATTTCGGTAACTTGATTTGTATTGACACCATTATCAAGAAATATCTTATGACTGCATTTGCAAATAGAAAAACGGTCCTCTAGCGATTATAGTTGGCTTCGTGCTGAATGAAGTTAGAGACGAAAAGGGCAAGGCAATACATAAAAGTCCTAAATTCAACAAAGACTCGCAACACTGACACATCCCAGTTGAAACCAAATGTAGTCGTAACACGGAATTGTCGAATTAAAAAAATACGACTTGAAAGTTCGAAAAATTACTGAATGAAACCTAAAGGAGAAAGGTCATAGAAAATTAACCCAATCCCGGCACAAAAGATACCTTCTTCAGAATTTCGCTATTTTAGTTAAGTAAATTCTGTATAGTTTTTGTTTTTGATAACAGTGGTTAACACGTCTAAATCGCCTTTTGTTTTAATCAGACGCATGGAGTATGTTCATGTATAAACAAAGGCTACCAGAGTTTGTGTTTTCAATTCTTCAAAAACTATTATTATGGAACATTGACTTACAATTATATGGACGTCGGGTCCGCGCTAAAAAGTGTCCGAACTTATAGGGCGTTAAAATCGTATACAGAGCGTCATTCACGCTCTAGTCTTCGTTTGTTCGACTGACAGCGAAGCAAGCAAAATTAGACAGTACTGCGATGACATTACAATTTAAATTCAATGTTTTAGCTTTTTCATATTCCTTTAAATGTCACTACGTTTAAATAGGTTGACTTGGGACATTTTTTTCGTGGTTTTTGTATTAGACCCGTCGTCCATTTATTTGTAAGTCAATGTTATGGAAGTTTATAGTGAACAATAAAGTAAATTTATCATAGTTTGTTTTCGATACTGATACTGATGCCACCGATGACTAACAGAAATCAAAAACAAAAATTATACAGAATTTTCTTGTCTAATATAAGCAAAATTCTGAGAGAGGTTTCTTTTGCGCCGGGACTGGGTCTTATATTACCCTTCTCCTTTATATTTAGAAATGGATAAATAATAGTATGTAATTAATAAGATCCATTCAGTATTTTTTTTTTAACTTTGAAATCGTGTTTTCTCAATTCCACCAGTTTTAGAGTTACGACGGTATTTGGTTTTATACCGGTGAACAATTAAGCTACGAATTTAAGATCAGATACGTGCTAGCAGGAAGAAACGTTTCAGAAAATTCTGAGCATATGAATTTACGCTCAACCGTGTCACAAAAATGGTTACAAAAATGTTTATTACAGGTTTCACACGTGCAGCCTGTGGGGTCAGTTACACGCGGCGGGCATACGGCGCACTACAGCAACGCATTCAGGACGATGTTCAGACTTCCACCTCATTGTAGCGTGTCAACCACGTTCGCTGAAAAACATGTTGCCGATTTTTACGCTTTTTTGCGAAAGCGTAGCGCATCGCTACTCCGACGCATACGTCTTAGTGCGAACGGCATCGTGAGCGCATTAGCTGATAGATGGGAATCCCAATGCTGAGGCGGTGGATGCGCTTGCACACTTCTGCCAATGCGTAGCCACTTGACCTAACGTTGTCTGGATGCGATGTTATTTATTATTTAAAAATTTACACTAGCGTATGTATATTTGTTAGTACTAAAAATTATGGATGAATTTATATCTGAAATAAATGGTTTATTATTATCATTATTATTCTAGGAATTAATAGTTTGCGTTTCCTTTATAGGTACACGGTTGTTACCAAAAAATGTATTATGCATTTTTTTAATAAATATTTCGGAATATCTGATTTTGCTCTTCCTGTAAAAAGTGCTTAACATTGTGATATTCAATCCAAAGAAGCGTAATCTAAATAAACACTATATTTTCACTTACCACGTAATCGCAGTCTCGTTATAACGAGTCCTACTACAGAGTTCTGCAGCTCTAAGGGGCATTAAATAAGACTACTTTATTTGAACGGCATGTTCTCAAGCAGTCGACTTCAAGTCACATTGAATCGTCAATGCAGAGCGTAAACATTTCTCGCAACGACAAATAGCTTGATTCAAGGCCGGGGGTCGCGTACGAATGTTTGAATGCACGGTAAATGTGGGTATTCCGCACTAGCCTAGTAATAATACACCTTATTACTACGTAATACGCTTGTATACTGAATTAGAGACTGTTGAGTTAGTTCTTTAAGGTCGCTTTTGAACTATACTTTTGAAAATTAAGGCATAATATTCATTTTATACCTTTGCTAACTTCGCCATAAGGTATTGATAGTATCTATGGATAGGTGTTGATATATCGAGGAATCCGAGGTAAAACCCAATAAGTTTGTATATTTTTATGTAATGAGTTACTTAACACATTCGCGCAAGACATTATGCCGCCTTAAACAATTGTCAGTAATGTGGAACAACGGTTTATTACGTCGTTGAATTTCTTTTATTTCGTCGAAATAAATTTCTAGTCATACATAATCTTAATAATGGCATCATTGCTGTACAACACAATATACGAACCGACACGCTGTATCGAAATTACACAGGTTAAATAAGCACTACTCACATCACACATGTATCAATGATCACTGGCATTCACGCGCAACATGGCGGCGGACGGTTTCTAGACGTCACTGTTTATTGACGCCAATATCATTATTTCTTACATTAATTTAATAGCTTGTAAAAGAAACTTTTATAAACGTACGCATTGTATGACAAACATATCTGCCACAGCGCATCAATCGGCAAAAGCACGATCCTCGCATGAATGTGGTAACTCAGTATACCAAGTAACTTGTTAGCCATTACAATGTCATTTTCGTGCATTTTTCAATGGTATAATGTACCGGATTTGTAACTAAATCATTTTTGTGTTATACTTAGAAATTTGCTTATTGTATTCCACAGTACAAAAGGCTACGAAAAATGTACTAAAAATTACTAATTTTACAAAGTTCATACACATATTGTGCTGTGTTTCGGACCCGTCGATTTATTTATTAAGCATTTTCAACATAACAGATTAAAATGAAAGTCGCTACAAACACAGAAACGCGAAAAAAAAGAAATATACTTAGTACATGTTATAGAATTGAAGTCATTAGTCAAATACTTTCGTACGGTCTCAGACATCAAAAGTGAAAACGACCAACGACGTTCGACTCGAGCGGTATTGTTTGCTGAGCCACGATAAATAAAAACCGATGTGAGTGCTTCGAATTCTTAAATTGAAATAGATTTTTATTTATTTCCTTCTAATACTCGATTCCTAAAAAACAAAATAACAACCTGCACGACAAAAGTTAACAAATTTTAATTAAAAAAGCGAACTTTTCGCGATTCACATTATTAAAACAGATAATAAATTTCTTAAAAGGAAAGAAAGAGTTTCAATGGATTTCGGAAGGTTTTACTGAGTTCACAAGAGAAGTCAGAAACTCCAATCATTTGCTTATAATGCCGATAGAACTTTGACTGAAATCTTTTACATAATAGGCCCTCTGCTTGTTTGTATGTTGTTTTCCGCTTAACCGATCCGACCAATCTTCACATGCGATGGAAAACAAATGTATGAAATAATTAATATACTTACTTTTATTAATATACTTTGAAAAATGTAGATATAGAAGTAAATATGTATAGATCCTTTTTAGTCACTGCACTTCGCTCAACGCCCTGAGACATACGTCGACAAGTCTCATTGTGCCTGTAATTTCACCAGCACCCTTCAAAACCGAAACGTAGTAATGCTCATATTACTGCTTGGCAGCAGAAATATGTAAGGTGGCAATACTTCCTTCGACAAATTCTTTCACAAGGAGCACTGGAGTGCTGCTAAAAATCCTCGAACTACATTTTGTCACGAAAGTTTTTACTTAAAATGATGCTATTGTTGCGGTATTGTTACAAATAAATCTAATATTTATGTAGTATTCCCATTGTTAGGCACGGGTCTCCTCTACATAGGCCCAAAGCGGTTTGGGTTGGGCATTTTCAAATTTCTATACTCTTAATTCAATGAGATTTTTTTGAGAAATCTCCAGACTCCGAGAGAAACCTTCACTGTTTTGTTATAATTATGAATACAAAAAAGTTACTGCGACGAATGCCGAAAAAATCGGTACAAAGCTATGTAACAAAAACACATAGGAGAATTTCGACGACTCGGTAACGGGAGCCGTGACTCAGATGGTTAGAGCAATGCTACGGTGCAGCATGGACGTGTGTTCAAGTCATACCGGGTCGATAAAAAAATTTTTTTGAGTGTTCGATCTTTGTATTCATAATTATATAAATACATACATCAAAAACGCTTAGGAATCAAGCACGTTTTTGCCACTTACTGAAAATAGGTATTTTAATTAGCTTTTTTTAACGCCGATGGATTTTTTTCTGGTCAATTTTATAAATTGAATTTGCAAATGAAATAGACCAATGAAATCCATTGGTGTTAAAAAATTCATTAAAAATATGGTTTCCAGTAATTAGCAAAAACGTGATTGATTCCTAGACACTTTGTTGAGTGTATGTTATATAAATCTACATAATATACATCAAATATATACAACTTTTATTAAGAAAGATGCCACTTTCTATGTAAAAAATTTAATTTCTATGCAAGACACGCAGTAAGCCTTTCGCGTTTGTATAATTCGTTTGTTTTGTTTGTGAACACAATGCCATTACTTTTCATGAATAAACCATAAGTTGTCATAAGCCCTCGAACATACTATTTCGCTTTACTTAATGTGGAATTACAGTCATTTGCTTTGCTAAATGCGGAATTGAATTTCATTGTCACAGTTCTACATAAATCGGAGCATAGACGCAGTATCGACGTTGGGAGAAAATCCCCCAAATCGGACGTTACGAGTAGAGTAGGTCTGCAGTAAACCGTGCTGTATTGGCTAGCGGCGGACTGAGCCGTTTTATGTCACTTACAATGTAAAACAATTCAATACAATACAAATAATTTAGAACGCTATGTTTCAACACTAGATGCGATTTAAATTTATTGTCAAACGCTTTACAAATTTTAAAATGTAGTTATGGCGCCAAAAATTTGCAATAATTTACCGTACATACTAAGGTCCAAGAAAAAGTTTATGCTATCTAAATAGTATTTTACGCAATCGTTGCATAATGAGGTTTAATCGTTTTTAAGCCACGAGGCTTTGCCGAGTGCTAAGTAATAGGAACGAGATTTTAAGACCTAATAATATTTTATTTTATATATTTATGTACTACATTTAAAGAACAAAATATTCCTATATATAATAAACTTAACTAAGTTTTTTCGTATACCGCTCATTCGTCGTACAAAAACATTTCTATGTGTAGTGTGTGCGTTCGTACTGATGTGAGTTGACATTCCTCTTAGTGTGCGTGAGAGTCGTCAATAAAGGTGTCACTAAACATTAATATAATAATTATAATATAACGATTGCATACAATACTTTTGCTACGAGTAAATAAAATAATGAAACAACCAATATTTAAAGCCAAACAAACGCGCAAAACCAAAACCCAAAGTGTAGAATAGAATTGGCCAAGTACAGCTTATATTTTAACCAATTATTTTTAATAGGTTTATGATCCTGTTGCAAAACCTTTAAGCCACCTTAACCAATCAGGAGGCAGTAGAGCGTTTGAGTTGCGTCATATTTTAAACGCACACTCTCAATATAGCTCCGCACTAGGGGAACCCTGAGTCGCGGGTGCCATGGACACACATGTGTGTGTAGTTGCCTATGTAGGCAACTACAAATTACACCCAAACTCACGAGAGAAATAAATGTAGGCCTTACAAATATTTCTCCCGGCTTTAAAGGTTCGATTCCGGGAATCGAACCTCTGCGTGGTAGTCCGACATGGTAACCGTTCGGCCACAGAGGCAGTTATATTTGATATTTAAATTAACATAATTAGGACGTTCTTTTTTTGAAACTCATTGTGTACATGGATCTCTAGAAGGTATAAAGGTAGCTGGTAAAGGTACCCGGCTGAGTGAAGAATAGATTTGTCACAGATGGCGCTACGCTAAATAAGTCGTTAAAAATCAAAAACAAAGATATGCAACAAGAACATAGAACAATTAGTAAGGTCCACTAGTTCATTCCGTGGCTGACTTAGTTGGCTTAGCGTCTGACATGGTTTGCTGAAAAAAGTTGATTCGTATCCATCCGGTTCACTGGAAATTTTTCTAAGTCTTCTAAGTGTTAGATCTTTGTATTAATAATGTTTTAGATTTTTTAAACACCTAAAAATACATACCATGCTGATTTCACGCTCATCACGCCGCCACTGTCGCCGGTCGACAAACCTGAGTTTGCTATTTAGACATATGAATCAGCCATTGCCTCTTTTAGAAATATGAAACAATTCTCAAAAAGCTACAGAATTTCGACAGCTAGATAAATTTTATCAGGCAGGAACTCCGTCGTATTTAGCTTTGATTTTAATAAGTTTCTCCAACGTGCATGTATCAGAGCAAGCAGTACAGGCTTGACAGATGAGTCACAGTTTGTGGGGAAGTACAACCGCCACAGAATCCCTGCAACCTCGTGTACCAGGGGAAAACTTCCGAGACAATCTTATGAATGTGAATTGTTAT